TTTCGAAAGCGCTATCAATGATGTTGTTACTGTATCCTCGAACAACTAGATGTTTACGTAGTTGTCCAAGTCTAGCATTTTGCGTATTTTCAGTAGAGCATATTCTCTTGATTCGCAATGCCTGGCTGAATGGGATGCCACGGGAGCAGTGTTTAGGATGGCAACTTTTAGGAGAAAGGAATTGATGTTTGTCCGTTTGTTTGGTATGAAGGTCCGTTATAATGGTCCCGTTCTTGATGTAACTCGTAGTGTCGAGGAAGTTTATTTTCTCCATAGATGATTCATATGTAAATTTTATTGAATGGTGGAAAGAGTTACAGTGTCCTAGAAATTCATTAAGATGTTCTTGTGAATCTGTCCATTTGAAATCAATATCGTCAATGAATCGGAACCATGATAAGGGCTGGTATGGAGCACTAGCCAAGAGGCGTTTTTCAAGTTGGCCCATAAATATGTTGGCATATGACGGGGCCATTTTTGTGCCCATACTAGTACCGTCTATCTGGAGATAATGTTTTTCATTGAAAGAGAAGTTGTTGTTCTCTAGCACTAGTTTCAGAAGTGTAACAAGGCACTCAGTTGGAGGATTTTTTTCACTACGAGTGTTCCATACCTCTTCACACGCTGCTATTCCTTCGTCTTGTGGAATGTTGGTATATAAAGAAGACACGTCCATGGATGCAAGTATAGTATTGCTTGGTAGAGGATTGAGGCTTTCCATTTTCTTTAGATAATCAGTCGTATCTTGGCTGTAAGAGGGTAGTTCTTTCACATGAGGTCTTAGATGATGGTCTAAAAATTCTGATATCTTTTCAGTTGGATGACTATTTGCTGAAACAATTGGTCGACCTGGATTGCCCGTTTTATGTATTTTAGGCAACATATAGAATCTTCCGGCCTTTGCTTCGTTCTCAAGAGGTCGGAGATAATCAAAGGTGTCATTGTCTATATGCTTTTTGTCGAACATCTCTTGAAGGATGGTGTTGATCCTTCGAATATTATTTAGTGTTGGATCTGTGGTTAATTGTTTATAAAAAATGGAGTTTGAAAGTTGGCGATTTCCCTCTGCTATGTAATCTGTTTTATTCATGACAACCACAGCGCCCCCTTTGTCGGCAGGTTTTATTACGATATCCTCTTGATCTTTTAACGCTTTCAAAGCAATGCTTTCTGACTTGGATAAATTATAATTTCTTGTATTTGTTATACAGGACTTTATATCAGACCTCACGTAGTTAATGAATGACTCCAAGTTATCATTTTTACTCTTAGGTGGTTTCCATGAACTTTTTTTCTTAAATTTTGGGATGGGCGTGACTTCTTCATTGGTGTCAGTATCTGAATCTGTTAATCCAGCTTCTTCAAGGTTTTTCTTGCCCCTATTGTAGAAAAAATCTTTCAAACGTAAACGTCTAGCGAATTGGTCTAAGTCCTCGTCTAGCTGAAAGTTATTTACCTTTGATGGGATAGGACAGAAGTTTAAACCTTTACTTAAAAGAGATTCTTCAGCACGTGTAAGTTCTTTAGATGACAAATTTACAACAATGCTTTCAGTTTTTTGTTTCCGTCTTTTGAATTTTCTTTTTCTAGGGACCTTATGGTTTGTTGTATTGATATCATTCATATCCTGATTTAAATAGACAGTGTGAATTTTATCTCTTTGAAATTTATTCCTTTGTTTTTCTTTATGTTTGGATAGTTCAATTTTTTCAATATCTGCGAGGCGACGTTTAATTATTGGTAAATCGTCACGTGAAATGTTACTATTGTTGATGATATCTGATATTTCATTTACAATTTGTTTGTAATTTGTGGTTGTAAAAGAAAGTAACAGTTGAAGTAGCTGGATTGAACAGTTAAACAGAATTTCATTCCAACGGCTCATGAATCTTTTGGATTTATGTCCCGGTGCCTGGGGACTCACTTTGATGTTTAAACCTTTTGGTACAGTTCTACTTTGAATATATTTTTTTAAGTTTGATAAATGATGTTCAGTTTGTAGTTTCTTTTTAGTTAAAGATCTTAATTTCTTGAAATGCAGTGCGCTATCCATGTTGTAAAGATAGCGATAGATTTGAATGGATTACACAAACATTTGTGAAATGCGTACTACTGAAGATAATAATATATATATATATACAAGTCTAAATTGAAAACAACGTTCAAACCTATGATTGCGTTGGATAGAAACCGCAATTTTTATACGTGTGCATGCAAAACAAATTTCATGGTAGAGGGGTCCAAATACAGCACAAACAACATTTTCCAAAAGACCAAAAAAGTGAAAAAGTATATTTTAACAAAACGCATTTGACTAGCAGGTCGAACAACGGATGTTCTTAAACCCTGCTGACTGCCATTGGCGATTGCCAAATAAACGGATCACCAGATATAACAAAATGGATCTTAAATATTAATTTAATACCAAACAGAAAACAATAAACTTGCGGAAAAGAAGGTATACCGCAAAAGGTGCAAATATTAGGACACCATATCCGAATTTCGATAAATAATGTCTCTTCGGTGATGTTAGGAATCGAAACGGTATTTGGAAAGCTATATAATTTACCTCAATTTAGGATAGACTCTTGAATTTTGAAGAGTCGAGATAGGATGAACGGTTCATATAAACCCGAAAGCAAATATAATACAAGCCCAAACGAAAAAATATAAGCAAGTCTAAATTGAAAACAACATTCAAACCTATGATTGCGTTAGATAGAAACCGCAATTTTTATACGTGTGCATGCAAAACAAATTTCTTGGTAGAGGGGTCAAAAACAGCGCAAATAACATTTTCCAAAAGACCAAAAAAGTGAAAAAGTATATTTTAACAGTACGCATTTGACTAGCAGGTCGAACAACGGATGTTCTTAAACCCTACTGACTGCCATTGGCGATTGCCAAATAAACGGATCACCAGATGTAACAAAATCGATATATATATATTTTACTAAAAGGGGCATTAGCTACGAGATATAAAAAAAAATATGATTTTTGTTCAATCATTAATGAAAGTGAAATAGTGAAATAATGATTCGCTTTTAGCAGCCAGTTTGGTTCAATTTCGTCAAAATAAGCTAAGAAATACCACTGTCTTATTAACCATCGAAATGACCTCCGAAAAACACAAATATAAACATAAGCTGATAGCGTCCACGTGCAATTGGATTGTTCCAGGTCTGTTTGATTTAATATTGTAGGTTATAAAGTATTTTTATCATCGTTTTTAACCATGTTAGAATGATTTTTTTTTTTTTTTTTTTTTTTTTTTTTTTTTTTTTTTTTTTTTTTTTTTTTTTGTGGATCGAATCGGTCAACCAAATGATTCGACATTCTTTTCTTTTTAATAGCTGAAACATGTGTAACCCATCTCCAGCAAAGGGGTTAAATTAAAGGTCACATAAATTAGAAATTCAAAGAGGTCAATCATTCATTTGCAAGTGAATAATTCATAAGCAATGTTATTTTTGTTTTATTTTGATAAAATTGGTGTAAATTGGCTGCTAAAAGCAAATTAACATTTCACTATACTACTTTCATTAATGATTGAACAAAATAAAATCATATTTTATTTTTTTTTTGTATATCTCGTAGCTCATGCCCTTTAAAATAGATGGCGTCTAGACTAAAATATATACACACGAAGAGTTGATACATATTATCGAATCCATGCATAGTAAATTGTTTATTTCAGGTTTTTTAATTTTTGGATATATGTTTTAGTATGTTATATATCAAATATGAGAATTTCAATCAAATCGGTGAGCATGAATTTGACAGCTAATAATTTTTTAAAGATGTTCGCTACTCTGTTTCAAAATAACAAGCTTTTTGAAAAACTATGATAAATTGATAGTATATACATAAAGGAACTTAAAAAGCAGATAAAAATTAAGGGTCCATGTGTTTGTTTTCGGGATATAAGCCATTGAAAATTTGGCGGGAAATGATTCTCTTTAGATTTTTCATACATTTAACATTGGCACCTTTTTTCTTTCAAAAACTATGAAAAAATAACAAGGATTTTATAAGATTTTGAAATATGGCTTTTTAAACTTTTTGTAATGATATTATGAAAAGAAAAGTAGGGGTTAGTGGGCAAAATTTTTTATTGGCACTACATGGATAAAACCAGAGGATTCCAAATATCTGGCAAAAAATCTGTACTTTATCGAGGAGGTGTATACTATACGGTATGTACTATTAACTGCCATTTTTTTTATTGGCGCCTTGTCAATATACTATCAACTACCAAAATTGTGTTTGTAAGCGTCTTTGTCAAATTTACTATCAACTACATCAACCTTTTTTGTTAGCGTCTTTGTTAGATTTATTTGTATGTTTGTTTGAATGGTATTGTCAGTTGAGTTGTATGTCTGTGACGTATGTTTACACAGTTTTTGGCTGCTGAACCCCAATTATTTTCACATTAACCTATTATCCCTGTTTGGGTTGCCCACCCAATTTTATCAATATAACGGAACTATAAATAACTGTACTACAACTGTGGAGGATTAGCTATCTATAAAAACCCACCATTTTCTTCGGAAAAAGCCTGTACCAAGTCAGGAAAATGACGAATGTGTTTTCACTTGTTCCTTTGGTTGATTACGTTTGATTTTGTCAGTTTTTATGGACTGTGCCCTTTTTGAATTTACAGTGGAGTTCAGTACGGTGTTAAATTGATAACCTTTAAGAATAAGTTTATTTAAAGGATCAGTGAGTTTCCATGGATCGTATCTAAATTTACGGGCTTCATAAACAATATCACCGTCAAATTTAGGATGTCATATCCTATGTTTAATAAGAAATCTGGAGGTACAGCCAAACTTCCTAAACAAATCTTTGTGTCTATGGAAGAATTTAGTAAAAGTTTTTATCAATTAGTGGTAACGATATCCCTGATAATTTACAAGTGATACATAAATAACGTTCATTGAAATCTAAAATGCGACTACAGACACGGACATAGCGAACAAGTTGTGAAATATACATACCGTAAGAAGGGGCCAAAGGGAAAATTTTCAATAAAGAACGAAAAATCGTTGTTACTTTTGTCGTAAATTCTTGTGTACAGTTTTCCGTGTGAACCTGAAATATATAAATCTATAAAAGTACGATTATTGCTGTCTGTATTAGATTTATCTAAAGTAAGTTCCCTTAGTTAAATTTCCGCAGTAATATGAGAAAATTCTTGATTATTTAATTAAAAAATATCAATAAGGTAACGATTAGTTTTTTTTTTATTATTATTTATCAATTAAATGTAATTTAGACGGATCTATTACTGAGTTTGGCCATAAACTGTGATTCATAACAATACAGGAACAAGTATGCTAATAAAGGTGCACAATTGGTCCCCATATGAGTGCAATCATTTGGTTGTTATATTATTTCAGATGCATAAGGTTAAGTATATACTGTACATTTTCAATGTTGTAATAAGAAAATATACTTATAAATGGCAGGGGCATTATCATAAAAAACGTGCAAAATACCCTATGCCTTGTGGTAAAGAAAAAATAAAAAAAACATACAGCTAATAAAAAAAAATGATCTTTTAAATATACCAATTGGTCTATGTATTGAAGTTAAAAATGTGAAAGCTATTTTATCATTTAAGGTACTCATGTACATAAATAGATGTTCCAACGGAATTTTGCATGCAGCTAAAGCATGTGGAACTGCACATGTATATCTAAAGAAATTAAATATGATTTGTTTAGACTTTCTGAGATATGACAAATTAATTTTTCGAAAAAAAGGAGTAGATATGTATGAAATACATGTTATCATAAAAAAAGTTCAGCAAATTTCAATTAAAAATATTATTTCTAGAAATCCTGTCCTACGAATTTTCATTAAAATTTAAATGTTATTACTACTGAAATTTTCAATTTATTGATAAAAAAAATAGAGGGTGTCGCTGAATTCGTATTTTGAGTACGAATTTTCTCCACAGCATGTTTTTGAGTATAGATAATTGAATTTCTGCACAGCATGAAAAAGACGCAGCGAAAAGGTAAAAACATGCTAAAAGTCATGACTGCATTGTACATCGAAATCATACTTTTTGACGTTTTCAGTTGTAAAAGAGCCACTTCGATGATGTGTACAGAAAAAAAAACAAATTTGGTGACACTTTATAATATTCATATCAATATAACGAAAATTTTAGTGGCAATAACATATAATTTTTTTGATAGAAAATTTGTAGTACATGTTTTTGAGTAATGCAATTTTTATAATATCAAATTATACTATACTTTTAGCGATATTTACGTGCATCCTATACATTTGTATTACATTTTACAGATTCAGAATAGCAAAGGAGTAGGCCCGGTAAGACCCTTTTTGGCCCCAAAATATAGCGTTTTTACGAAGTTGTACAATTATAAACTCTTAGTTATTTATTCGAAAGTAGAATACTTTTGTTACATAAATATGGGCTGTTTTTTTATAATACAATGGACATGCATCAGGTATTAGCATCATTATTTCATGCAAAAATACTGATAAAAATTTGTAGTACATGTTTTTGAGTAATGCAATTTTTATGCAATTATAAACTCTTAGTTATTTATTCGAAAGTAGAATACTTTTGTTACATAAATATGGGCTGTTTTTTGATAATACAATGGACATGCATCAGGTATTAGCATCATTATTTCATGCAAAAATACTGATATCTTCAAAATTTAAACATTTGTGCTAATTTTAAGACGGTTTTTGTCTAAAATAGAAGTGGCCGCACTTGTGTTCAGTCTTGATATTTAAATATATGTTGTATTAAATGATAATACACAACATATATAAATGTTGAGAGCGGCCAATTCCATTTTAAACAAAAACCATCTGAAAATGGACGTTAAATGGCATATTTGATAGATTTTTCATATTTAAGCTTGAATTTGAGCGTTTTTAATTACAAAGCCAGTCCAATTTTTTTACAATAACCATTTGAATCGAATGAAGTAGACACTTGAGAGTTTTAAAAAATGTCAAAAATCTTTCATCAGATGTACTTCGAATTTTATGCCGAAATTAGCCCTTACCGGACCTTCTCCTTTGTTATATCTCCGAAAGTATAAAAGTTACTTCTATAAGTTTATTTTTTTTATATTCATTTGAAGTTCCATATGCTCTAGTTGCATGCAAAACTTCACTAATATCCGTGAGATCGAACATTTATGTACCCGTAACCTTAAAATGGCACGTTTACAAAGAACGATAATGACTATGCATGGGAACGCGTTGCCGTCTTAAGGTGGTCCAGTATAGTTTGAAAAGAAAACATTAGGCAATAAATAAGATGACGCATTAGTATCTTGGATTTAGTTTCTTTGACATAAAGGCTTATTTCGTGATGATTTATAGATCTTTCTTTTTTGCACTCAATTAATTCAAGTTCGACGTCAAGATTTCGCACGTAAGGAATTCGTGTCTTCGGCAGCTAAAATCGGATTTCTCATTACGTAACAATGTATTGATAAATGAAGGAACGACAAGTATAAAGTTTGAGGGAAAAAGAGATGTCCAAAACATATTTGAATAGATTCATACAAGATTGATCTTCTGCTGCAGTTGATACACTGCAAAATTAAAAAGAACAGGACTGGTATACATTTTTGTATTTGAACTCAATTAACCAAAAAGGTCACGTCAGCTTTTGATATCATTAAGGGTCCATCGTCGTCGTCATAAACTTTTAAAAATATTTCTGTTTTGAAACTACTGGCCAAAATTTGACCACGCTTTTAATACCTGAATGTTTCTTAGAAAATCTGGTGTAATTAAAATCTGGTACCTGATTCATTCATCAACATTGCGGCTTTTGGTAAAAACAGAAAATAAAAAAATAGAAATCCAGTTTTTGGCTCATACGTCAGTTGTTAAAACCAATCAGAACAAAATTGGCATTGTAAAAATTATAAGCCGGTCAAGGTCAGGGCCTAACTACCTTGAAATTTTCAGAAATAATCATATAACCCATTTTGGAGTTATTCCCACTGAAATGTCAATTTATAGTAATTTTTTTTTAATCTTGAAACCTTTATATATAGAGAGGATCATAAAAATGGTAAAATTGACAAACAAAGACAGATCTACAAATAATTAATCAATGTCGAAAAGATTCAGTTGACTCCTTATTTGAGTAATTACCAATGAATGACGTCTTTCCAAAGTGGAAGAGACTTAAAAATCGTTTACTTTTTCCATGGCCGATTGCAAGCTAAAACAATTTTGCTTACCTTAATTTTTTCAGTCTTATCTGTATACAGTATAACTATGCGACAGCTGTGTATTAGCGATAGGAAAAAATGTAGAAAATAGGTCAAGCAGTCAGGGCATTCATAACATTCGATCAGACTCATTCTATTAACTAATCTTCCCGTTACATTTGAATAAAGTTAATGAATGACAGTACCATTAATGTTATTTATATTGATCGTGGTTGTTTTGTTGTTGTCAAGTGTGATGTTTTGAATCAATAAAATATGCGGAATTGCTTTTTCTTTTTTTTATTATTAACCATTCATTCATAAGTCATTTAGCATCATTGCCTTTCAAATATTCGGCCTTGATCGTTCCTAATGGAGGTTAATCCAGAAAACCGGTTCGGACGCATGAAATTTATAAAGTGCTGTTTTTCAATTTTAATTGCTTTCTACAGTTTATGATTTTCATTATTATTATTCTGGCTACAGTTATCACAAAGGAGTATGTTCGGTAAGGTACCTATTTGGTCTAGTTGGCACCGAATATCAAGTCCAATATTTCAGGTAAAAAAGTGTTTCCATATAAAAATAAGAAGATGTTAAAATAAAATTGAGAATGGAAATGGGGAATATGTCACAGAGACAACAACCCGACCAAAGAGCAGACAACAGCCGAAGGCCACCAATGGGTCTTCAATGCAGTTGTATGATTGCCAATGAGACAACTCTCTACAAGAGACCAAATGATACAGTCGTTAACAACTATACTTCACCGTACAGCCTTCAACAATGAATAAAACCCATACCGCATAGTCAGCTATAAAAGGCCCCGAAATGACCAATGTAAAACAATTCAAACGAGAAAACTAACGGCCTGATTTATATACAAAATAATGAACGAAAAACAAATATGATAAACAGCAACAAACGACAAATACTGAATTATAGGCCCCTGACTTGAGACAGACAAGTCTATTAATAAGTTAGACATGTAAGAAAGTGCAAAAGAATTATTTGGTCGAGCTTTACAGATGAAACATCGAACATACCGCATCGCCTTATTTCATACTGAACAACAACAAAAATGATTCAAAAGTCAAGGAATTTACAACAATTTCAATGCTTTTATTGTACTTTGCATTTCCGTATTGCTTTGGTTATGAAACAAAAATGGCAGATCGGAAAGATTATTTAGAAGTGAAGAGTAACTTAGTAGTCTATGTGGTCAACAAACATAATTTGTATTTTCATCTAGAAGTAACCTTCTGTACAACTTTCCATCACAAAAATGTCCTGTTTTATATATTTAAATAGAGAGACTAATTAATCAACATGGAAACAATGGGAGAGGGAATTCTCAACTTAAAATAGATATACTGGTTCTAACAACCGGAAGTAAACAGCTTGAACTGGGTAGAACATTAAAGAACATAATACCTAGTCGTTAGTCATGTTTGTTTTACTGTGCGTATTGATGTGTGTTTCTTTATTCTACATTGGCTAGAGGTATAGGGGGAGGGTTGATATCTTACAAAACATGTTTAACCCCGCCGCATTTTTGCGCCTGTCCCAAGTCAGGAGCTTCTGGCCTTTGTTAGTCTTGTATATTTTTTAATTTTAGTTCATTTATATGTTTTGGAGTCTAGTGTGACGTCCATTTTCACTGAACTAGTACACAATTTTATTCAGGGGCCAGCTAAGGACTACCTCTGAGTGCGGGATTTTCTCGCTGCGTTGAAGACCCATTGGTGGCCTTCGGCTGTTGTGTGCTCTTTGGTCGGGTTGTTGTCTCTTTGACATATTCCCCATTTCCATTCTCAATTTTATTGTTGTTCAGAAATTTTAAATTGCTCAAAAACAAAAGGTTCTTTCTTTTGAATTTGACAT